GGCCGAGTCGGTCGAGGGTCCCCGGGGGCCGGCGGCGGCGCTGGAGCTGTGGCTCAGTGAGTAGCCAGGCCGCCCCTCGGCGGGCTCAGCGCCGCCCGTGAGGCCTCGCCTCCCGCCTCCCGGGGCCTTTCTTCTGCGGCCGGCGGGCGGGGAGATGACCCCGGGGAGCCCGGCGCGGGGGGAGGGTCGCCGAGGGGTCCCCCGAGAGGAGCCCCAGGAACCCGCCCGGGCTGCAGACCGCAGCTTGGGCGCTCTGCTCCCCCCACTGCCCACCCCCACTGCCCACCCCCACTCTGGTCTCAGTACATGAACATCATTAACAACGTAATGGCTAACGTTTGTTACGCGTTTCTTTCCTGCCAAGCATTTCAGCAATTGTTAATCGTCATTACGACCCCGAGAGACAGCTTCTATTAACCCCGTTTAGAGATGGGAACGTGTAGACCTAAGGAGACTCAGTCGTGCAAGATACGCAGCCTCTTGCGGGCTATTTGGGGCTGAGAAAGATCTCTATCTGGCTGCAGTCTTGACTGTCAAAACAAGCCCCTTTTTCCTTTTGTGTATGGTTACTCTGACCGGACTTGTTATGGGTGTTTCCTGTAAGCTTCACGACAGTCCTGGGGGGCAGGGGTTGTTGTTATCCCTGTGTTCCCCATGAGGAATTGAGATTCAAAGAGGGTGAAGGATGTGCTGCTTGTATTGGGCTCTGCTGAGTGCTGGGGAAACTGAGAAGCGGAACACAGTGTCTTCGTGGGTACGAGGCAACCATAACAGCACCTCGTTATAATTGGCGGGGGTGGGTGCGTTTGTTTAATGTGTGGTGGTGGGAGTTGGTTTGTTTCCTTGGGCATTGTCTCAGCAGACATAGCATTTGAGTGGACAATGGAGGCGACAAGACAGGAAACTGCATGTGCAAAAGCTGGGGGACGAGCGAGTGTGGAGCATTCTGGGAACAAGTAGGTCAGTACTGCGGGAGTGCAAAGCCCCGAGAGCCTGGAAAAGAGGCTGTACGGCTAATCGGGGCAAGATCTTCAAGGGGCTCGCATGCTGCAGAAAGGAGTTTATATTTTATCCCATGAAGGGGGTGGGGGTGTTGGAGGTTTTAGCCAGAGAATCTGTGATCAAGTACACCTGTTAAAAGCATCACCTGCAGCCCTGTGGAGTTGAATTGGTTAGGGAGGGTGAGACTTCAGACAGGGAGTAGGTAAAAAGCTCTTTTGGTAGTGTTTAGGGGCTGAAGTAGGACAGAGACATTGGGAAGGAGAGTAGAAATAATTAGCAGGCACTGTCAGCCGCCTTGATGCATTAGAAGGGAGGCAGGAGAGCAAGAGGAATCTAGAATGGATCCTAGGTTTCAGGCCCCAATAACTGGTTGGTTACAGATGCCTCACCTGTGAGGAGGAGCTGGTTTAGGGAGGAGACAGTCGAGTTTTGGAGTGGGAGGTGCTTGTGGCACGTCACAGGGACCATCTCTGGGCAGTTGGTTGTCTCCTGGGAGGGTCAGAGCTGGAGGTCAGCTTGGGAGTCTTCAGTTCACTGGCAGTGAGCTTGTCCAGGGAGGAGGTAAATTGAGAAGAGCAGAGGTTTGCAGATGGAGCGTGGAGAACCTCAGCTTTTAAGAAGCAGATGGGAAAAGCAGTCTGAAGACGGAAGTCAGAGCAGACCCACGCAGGGGGAAAGCTGGGAGGGTGAGGAGCCACTGATCTCAAAGGAAGGGTGTAGTTGGTAAGTAGTTTTGCTGCTGAAAGATGGAGGGAGGAGAAGGAGGAACTTTGAATTTGGCAACCAAAAGCTTATTAATAAGATATCTTTGGGTAGATGGTGGGGACAGAAGGTAGTTGAATAGGAGGCAGTGGAGAACAGTAGGCTAAGAGTTGCAAAAAAAAAAAAAAGTCCAGTGGGTTAGGTTAGAGGACAGCTAGCAGCTGACCCACGGAGGAGGGTTCTTCAGTGCCAGCTGTTTAGGCTCATGTGATCCCAAAGTTGCTAGATCTTTCAGTTTTTCAGGTAGAGCTGGAACCTGTATTTTTATGGGAAATCTCTTAAGTTTTTAGAACTTGGCAGCTACTTTGAAATATAAAGCTTGTCTGGGGCAGGCTAGACAGAGTTAATCTGGGGGGAGGGTGTAGCCCCTGGCCACCAGCCTTTTTTTTTCTTTTTTAATGATGTTTGAATGTGAAATGAAGGAGAGAAGATAGCTAGAGGGAATTCAGATATAAAGGAGGGCTTAAAAGGTGAGAGGCACCTGTGAGCCTCTCTGTGCTGATGTGCCTTTGGGAAACTGTCCCTCCTCAATTCAAGGTCCAATGTTCAAGCCATTGGAAAGGGGTGTAAAGGAAGTCAGCCGGAGCAGAAAGGGATGCCTTGGCCTAAAGGGCACTGTTTGTTTTTCTAACTGGGGAAGAAGATGAAGATGATTGCACATGCAAATAAGTTTGTCAGTATCATCACCACCCCCCTGACGGTTGGGGGCTGAGGTGGAAGAGGGGGCTTGAAGAAGGTGGGGAAGTTTGGGAATGGCTGGTAAGAGAAACAAAAGGGAGCCCACCTGGACACTTGAGAACAGGGTTTCTCAGCCTCATCACTGTTGCCTAACTCTGTGTTGTGGCGGCCCGTCCTGTGCGTTATAGGATGTTTAGTAGAATCCCTGGCCAGATATCAATAGCACACACCCTCTTCCTGGTCATGACAACCAAAAATGTCTCCAAACATCACCAGATGTCCCCACATCAGAAATGTGTCTTATCGCCTTCATGGTTGAGTAATTCCCCCGCCCCCTCTCCCCTCCACTAGGAGCAGAAAAGGGGAACTGTGGTTTAAACCAGATTTGCTAGGAGGTGGGGGTGGGGCACGGTGGTACCGTGGAAGGACAGGGGCGTAGAGGGGTTGGTATGGCAGGGACAGGAGTGTCGCTGAAGGAATGCATGAGTCTAGCTAGGCTGGATGGGGAAGGAAGTCACTTTTGGTGGGGTCTGAGGACTGCTGAGCTCAGGTCACTGACAGATCTTATCTCAGCAAGCAGGGCAGCTGTGTCTTTAAGATGGGAATAGTAAATATACATTCCTCTTAGGGTTGTGAGAATCAAAGGACTTAATACTTGTGAAGCACTTAGAATAGCCCCTGGTGCATATAAGTATTAGCTGTTACCATTAGTCTAGTTACGAGTGGCAGAAAATTAACTCATATTGGCTTACCAAGAAAAAAATAAAAAGGAAAAACATTGGACCTAGAATTGGGGAGCAGTAGTTCCCCAAAGGAACATCAGGAAGCTGTTACCAGAAGCTCATGCTTTAAAAATACAAATAGCAGCTTCTGTGCATTCTAGAGCCTTGTTCCTCACACTTTGTTTTGGTCGTCGTTCCACATGACTGCATATAAAACTGCCTCATTCTTGTTAACGAAAAGCCTCATATGCCCCACTGTATGGGTGTACTGTGATTTATTTAACCAGTTCCCTGTTAGTGGACATCTTAGATTGTTGCTAGTCTTGTGCTGTTAAAAGCAGCGCTGGGTCTCCTGGTCTCTGGGATTCCAGCTTGGGCAGTGCTACCAGGGAGGCAGTAGCTTCAAGTCGGGTGCTGAGTAAATCACTTTCTTGTTCCATCTGGACTTGCTCCTAGGTGATGTGTCCTGTCTTCCTCCCAGCCCCACTTCTATGCCTCCCTTGGGGATCAAGAGTGGTCTTAATTACAATCTATTTATATGTGAGCCTCTCGAAGGCTGAGCTCAATCTGTATCTTGGAGCCAGCATAGGACATTCCTATGGTGGGCTTTCAGCGTGTGCTTAATTGAATGACTGCTGGACTGTAGGGGTCGGTGTATACCTCCAACAGGATTCCCCCATGCAGTGAATACTGCTGAAGGATTGAATTCTAAATGTTCCTCGAGGTGACTGCTTCCCACAGCTTCAGGGTGCCCCTTACTAGCACACGCTGCTCCTATCGCCAGAGTCATGACCCTGGTGGTTGGTTGGCAGCTGGTGTGGGATGATTTTGCTTCTGCATTAGTCACTTTCACATGAGCCATTTCACTCACAGCTGGAGGTCTCAGCTGTTTCCTTAATGCCTTTCCCCCTGTAGCTGACTTGAAACACATACAAGCATTGCTTTTATTAAGCAAATATATGGCAGTAGTCTCATGTGTCCTGTCCAAGTGCCAACTAAATAAACCACCTGGGTGCCAGGGATGGCCATTCCCAGCGCCCTGATGGGGCTGAGATAGTCATGAGAAGCAGAGAAGGGGTTTTTTTAGTTTCTCCTGGCCATGCCGTGTCCGGCCCCTAGCCACTCCTTGGTGCAGAGTGGTGTCAAGCAGAGCAGGGCGTTGCTATGGCCTGGTCAGACCCAGCTGCTGGTCTTCTGGGGGTCGTTTTCTCTGGAGCTGCTCAAGGCTTCTGAAATAGCTTGGCAGGCTGGGACTATGTGTTCGGAGACTCAGTTATTTCAGAACTGGAATAGCCATCTCCTGGAGTCAGCAGTACGTCCAGCCAACTGGCCAAACTCTGCCTAGCAAAAGATGAATCATTCATTCATTCAGTAAATATTCTAGGTGCTGGAACATGTGCAGATGAATGAGACAGATCTTCTTGCCTTAGGGAGCTAATAATTTAGTGGCAAGAAGGCAAAGAAACTTGTTCCCAGGAGAGGCCCTTTCTGTGTCAAGGAACTGAGGACTTTACCATGAGACATGTTTGGGCCCTGGAGTCAGGCAGACTTGGGGCTGAATTTATGTTTGTGTCATTTTCCAGCTTTGTGGCTGGGCAGGTTTCTTCAACTGTAAAATGGTGAGATAATAGTACCAACTTCAGTTGTTCTGAGGATGAAAGAGAAGGGATGCTTGGAAAACACTCAGCATGGTGTCTAGCCCACAGTAAGTTCTGTAAAAAGGTAGCTGTTACTATTATTGCTATTATTTTGGGGCCATAATAAACCTTGAGCGAATCCTCATGATACAAATAAAAAAACTGTTACACTTCCTGGAGCTTCTTGCTGCTTTGCATTGGTTAAGAGTTTGGAACATGACAGCCTCATAGAGGTTTTTTCTTCCTTCCTTTGGAAAAGCTGGTGCCTGTCGGCACTCTTTGTACTTGGCAGCAGGGGAGGAGAGAGAGGGCTGGATTCTGCGTGGTCAGCTGGGGCCCTGCCTGCTCTCTGCCTCTAGGCCAGTCATCTGTTGAGTTCTGAATGCCTTCGAGGTATCAACCTTGACCTTGTAGTGAACTGAAACTTCGGGAAGCTTCAATGGTGTAGAATTATTTTAGATGTGTCAGAGCCCCTTAATCAGAATCTCTGAGAATCACTGCTTTAAATACAGTCATGATTTGCTTAATGACAGGGATACATTCTAAGAAATGCGTCATAGAGTATGCTTACACACACCTAGATGGTATAGCCTACTGCACATCTGGGCTATATGGGACCTAGGCTTATGGGACCACCATGGTACATTTGGTCCATCACTGAACAAAACATCATTATGTGGCACATGAGTAATTTATTTCATGAGTCATTATTTTGTACCTATGGGGAAGGCATTGTACTAATAAGCACTGTTGGGGATATATGGCTTATGCCTTCAGAGTTTTATTCCCTTTAGGTGTAATAAGGCATGTATACTTATTGTTAAAGTAAAAGGCTATGTATTATAATACATATAATACTGCATATTATAACGATAAGATTAGCTATCCTTTATTGATTACTTACTATTTGCTGCTGTACTGAGCACTTTAGACACTATGTCTTTTAAATCTCATGACTATCCCATGAGGAAGGTACTATTTTCCTTATTTTATAGTTGAGAACACTGAGGCTTAGAGAGCCCAAGGACGCGTAACTAATAAGGAATGGAGCTAGAGATCTCCATCATTAAAAGGGGCAGGCAGAGTGTGGGCCGTCTGAGGAGGAGGAGATGGCTTGTGTTTTATGGGGATGGGAGATAAGAAGATCAAAGAAACCTTATGAAGAAGGGGTGTTTGAATTGGGACTGGAAGGATAGATAGGATTTCAAGAGATGGGACATAAGGAAAGAGCCTTGAGGAGGAAGAAGGTGAGGGATATATGGGAATTGATCATCTGATTCCTTCGCTCTCCTTTGTCACCTTTTTTCTCTTAGAATGGAGTCAGTGGGTGGGAGGAAGGGTGATTACATGTCCTTTGAGTGTCACTGTTGAGATGGGGAGACACATGGCATCCACGTGACGTGAATGTGATACAGTCAGGAAAAGTTAAACTCTAGTTGACTGTGGAGTCTTAAGTAATCAGAAGGGAGGAGAATTAGTAGGGGCTGGAACAGTGCAGCAAGAGGTTTTTGGGAGGCGATGGAAATCCAGATGGGCCTTGAAGAACGAATAGGATTTTGAGAAGAGAGGAGTGAACATTCAGGCAAGAGGAGCATTGGCCTGTTTGCAGAGCTTGAAGGAGCTTCTCTATCAGGACTAGAAAGACTTTTTATTGGAGAGGCGAGAGGCCAGGACAGGCTGGACAGAGGGGAGAAGGAGAAGTGTATGAAAGGACGGATGAAGATGGTCTCAGCAACTCCATTGTGAGGGTGTGGCCTGGTTCAGTCTGGGGGCGGCATGTGGAAGGGGCATCCTTGTTGGATTGCTGGACAGGGCCAGCAGCAGTGGGAGGAGAGGAGGAAGCTGCTACCATCTAGCACCAGGAAAGATACGTACAATCTCGTATTCCAGGAAAGTCGAGGATTGCCCCTCCCCTCAGTGGATCATGGTCTTATATTAGGCTCTTGATAATCCCCCTTTCTCCACGTATCTCCTGCCCCAGGCTGTGCCCTGATGCCCTTGGATGCTCATTGTCCTCAGATTTCATCCAAGTATGACTGTTCCGGTGAGGGAGACCCTAGCGTGATTGTATCTGGGTTCCTCGGGGATGTGTACGGTAGCAGAGAGACAGCATTTTGAGGGGTTAAGGCGAGAAGGTCCTCTTGTCAGACTGGACAAGCCGCTGACACATGGAGAAGCTTCTTACATAGGATGATCAGAGAGGATTTTATCAAGCTGAGGCTTAGATTAAGGGGTGTTGCTTTTGAGGAGATGGTGAGATGACCAAGTGGAGCCACCTAGAGCCTCATGGTGTGTTCTGGTCTTCCTGTCACCTGGCTAAGAAATTTACAAGTAGCCTCCCAGATGCTGGCCCATGTCCATCCTCATTGCAGGGCCAAAGTGGGGGAGTCCTGACAAGGGACATGAAGAAGGCGCACACAGGCCAACCCTTGCACTGGAAATGGAGTCCTTTCCAGGACGATAGCTTGTTAACTAATTTGCTCGTTCATTCAGTCGTCAGATATTCATTGAGGCCATGTCATGTGCTAGACTCCGTGCCTAATGGTGGTGAACAGCACAGGTGTGATCCTCTCCCTTTCGGCTCTCTGCCCCATGAGTCTGATCCCTGAGAGGTGTGATGTCACAGCCCTTGGCTGTCATAGCTTGTTGCTTTTTGTTATGCTTTCTTTAATTTTATTTTTTATTTTCTTGACAGATAAAGCCACAGACCCCAGCATGTCAGAACAGGATTGGTCAGCTATCCAGAATTTCTGTGACCAGGTGAACAGTGACCCTAATGGGTAAGGTGACCTTCACACACACCCCTGACTCTGGAGGCACCTCAGACCGACTGCGTGCCTTTGTCTCCTGGGACTGTTTTACACAGCTAGGCTTTCTTTCCTTTTTTTTCCCCCTCCGCAGTCTACTGAGGACATTATTTTTCTAGAAATAGCAAATTCATGTGGTTTTTTTTTAAACAAAATAGTCAGTTTGTAACTGGTAGTTATTTAAAAAAATTTTAAATAGTGTTATGAAGCACTAATGCTGATGAGACCTCTGAATGTTACAGATAGAATGTAGCTAGGTTATGTAGCAATGTGAAAGAGATCAATATATTCTCCGTAATTTAAATGTAATCTTTCTTAAGAAAAAGCAGGAAAAGGGTAAGATTTTGTTGAATTCTGTTTCCAAAGCATCTGGATAGGAACTGAAGAATCAAGTCAATCATCCAGATGTTTAATCTAAATGTTGCTGAATATTCAGAGTTTTGAAATGAGCTAAAAGTTTGATCACACTTTCTCCTCTGGTGTTTACTGAGCATTTATCATATGACAGACAGGGTGTGTGCTGTTCATGACTTGGTTACATGTAGGTCTGGGCCCTGACTGCTCAGCTTGGAGTTTTAGGGATGGGTTGGCTCAGGGGAGGATCAGGTGCCCTGGACAGAAGGAAGGCCTCAGGTGCTGTACCTTCAAGAAGGGCGGGTGGGAGTTGGCCTCCTTCAGAGGCTCGTGCATGGGCTGTGTGCCAGGACATTCCACCTCTGCTTTGGGACCCGAGCTCCTGGAATAGAGGTGACTTTACCGAGCACATTCAGCCAGACTGGTGAGTTTTTTCCTCTCCACCCAGAGTCCAGGTCTCTTTGTTTTCCCTTAGCTCAACCCATGCGCCCTGGCTGCTGGCCCACAAGATCCAGTCTCCACAAGAGAAGGAAGCTCTTTATGCCTTAACGGTGAGTTTGGCTTGCCCCTTAGCCTAAGCTTTCCTGTCCTGATGCTAGAGAGCTGGGCCCCAGTCCCATTTCAGTATGGTAGAGAGCGTCTAAGAGGTTCCTCTTGTCTGGCCTTGAGAAAGCAGGCTGTAAGGAGTTCAGGCTCAGGTTGCCCCATCCTAGATCTGTTTCTAGAGAGCAGCATTGAGCCTGCTTTGGGAGAAGAAAAAGAAGGTTGTATTTCCTATTGTCTTCCTTAGACCAGGGCTGGGAAATGCAGGTGCCCACAGGGCCAGACTGGTAACGTACACGAGTGAGCCGCTGGGTGAGGATGACAAAACTGGAGAGAACCTGCCCAGGCTAAAGGGGGCAGCTGCTGCGTAGGACCAGCTGGCTGTGGCCAGGCATAAGTTTGGGCCAGTATTACTAGAACTTCCTGTTTTTCAAGAGAAATCAGAAATCTGGATTTTTGTATGAATTCTCTGAATTTTTCAATGTTGGTGACTAATTTGAAATGTTAAACAATAGTGTGGACCAAAGAAACCGTGTGCCAGCCCAACCTGCCGCTTGAATGGCAGCAGTAACCTCTGGTTGAACTTTCTTGGGCACTATGTATCAGCTTTCTGCCTCTGAGGAGGAAGTGATTCTCTGACCAGTTTCACCTGCCCAAAGGGTCTCCTGAGAAGGTGAGATGACCTCAGGATATACGCCCCACTGAGCGGTTTCCTGGGCACAGACCTGGCAGTTGCAGCAAAATCAAACAGGTGGCATTTTTTCTGAATCTGAAAATGTCACCTTTTCTTCAAAATTCGAGTGTCTTCATAGTCTTGATTGAGGAAACTCGAGCCATGGTTCCAGCAAATGCTCCTCGGATTTGAGATGAGCCCTGGAGCCAGTGGTTTTCCCGTTCTCCGGGGGTCCTCTGTCCATGCAGGTGCTGGAGACGTGTGTGAACCACTGTGGAGAGAAGTTCCACAACGAGGTGGCCAAGTTCCGCTTTCTGAATGAGCTGATCAAAGTGCTGTCCCCAAAGGCGAGTACCCTGGGCTTAGCCCTGCTCACTGTACTGCACCTACCCTCAGCCTTCAAATTCCTGTCACCCTCTCGGTCCAGGGGCAGGCCTGCTCGTGGGCAGAAGCTGCCAGCCTGTCTCAGGTTTGTGAGAGAGCTGAGAAGGTCCTGTGAGTGAAAGCTTTCATCTCCAAGGTCAAGATGGTGGTCACGGTCATCAGCTGATCCCTGCCCTTCGATTGTTAGTGTTTTCAAATTCTCCCTTTAAAAATGGCCTTGTAGCTGGGTGGTCCAGAGGAGATGAGGAACTCGAGCTTGTAGGCACAGGTTTCCTGGTAGAGATAGCAAGAGATACCAGGTGTGGCTTTCATTCTTGCCTTGTTCTCTGTACCCTTTCTCCTGACAGCTGTCTTAGCGACACCGTTCTTGGGTAACTAACATTGGTGGCGCCTTCCTTTGCTGCTTCCCAGTGATTCTCTGATACCAGCTGTGTGTCCTACAATTTAATTTGATTCTATTCTGACACTAACTACCCAGAGTTAGTACAGACCCTACATGGTAAGGGCTCAGCCCTGTCTGGACTACGCCTGCTTTAGACACCAGCCATGAGTCTCAGGTATTCCCAAGCTGCTTGCACTTCTGCCCAACAAATACAAATTCAGGGGTTCCCATGATCCCCACCCATAAATCACTAGAAAGACTCACAGAACACAGGAAAGCACTATACTTTTACCCTTTTATTATAGAGGCTATAAATGGAAGAGATACTTAGGGCAAAGTTTTCCATGCCCTCTTCTTGTGGAACCTGGCCACACCACCTTCCCAGTACCTCCATGTGTTCCACCAGGAAGCCCTCTGAACCTCATTGTTTCAGAGTTTTTATCTGGAGTTATGTAGGTGTGGTTGACTAAATCATCAGCCATGTGACTGAACTCAGTCTCCAGCCCCTGTCCCCTCCTGGGGGCTCGGCATAGGACTGGAAGTTACAACCCTCTAATCACGTAGTTGGTCTTTCTGGAATGGTCAGCTCCTCCCTTGAAAGTAAGTGCCCACCATGAGTGGTTAGCATAAGCTTAGGTATGGTCCAGCGGGGCTCGTTGTGAATAACAAAAGATATTCCTATCACTCAGGAAATTCCAAAGGTTTTTGAAACTCTGTGTCAAGAAATGGGGACAAAGACCAAATGTATTCTTTTCTTATTCCACACTTGCCCCAGTCAAAAAACGAGTGTCCCCAGTGGCTCTATCCTAGGCCAGTGTATGGTAGGCTTTAATTTTGACAGTTTTGGAGGCTGACCTCTTGAAACTCAGAAGGAGCCCTGGGGCTGGGTACCAGATAATTTGGCCTCTAGTTGTGCTCTGCTCTCAGCCAGCCTTGGGCGGTGCACTTCTCTGGGCCTCAGCAGCCATCTCTTTAGGGTAGTGTGGGCTAGGTGGTCTACTAAGTCCCTTCCAGCTCTATAATTCTCTTTCCTTTTCATTTTCAGTACCTAGGGTCCTGGACTACAGAAAAAGTTAAAGGAAGAGTCATTGAAATACTCTTTAGTTGGACAGTTTGGTTTCCAGAAGACATCAAGATCCGTGATGCTTATCAGATGCTGAAGAAACAAGGTCTGACTTCTGTTACTTACGCTGCCTTCCCTTTTCACAGTAGTTGTTCCTTCTTGCTTTTTTTAATGCTTTGTAATTTTTTGGTGAAAGGTGGACATCGAGTATAGGACAGTAGAGACTGAAGCAATTATTAATCCCCGGAAATGGGCCGGCCTTTCCTTCTGGTAGGCTGGAGTTGAGCTGGGTTTGAGATGTTGCTATAGGTACCCTCACTGTACCAGATTTCAAATGCCTCTAGGGTTCGTGTTTAGAGTGGGGGCTGATTTGCTAGAGGTTTTGGCAGCATCTGCTCCACGCTCAGCTTTAGGTTGTCCTTTTGCTCTGCGCCTCAGAGAAGGTCTTATTCCATTGTGTTTCCTAACAGTAGGCCGTTATTACTTGTTACTGATGCTGGTTAGCCTGGTGTGGTGGTCGTCATTCTCTATTCTGACGAAGCCTCAGTCTTAGGTAGGCGCTGTGTCCCTGGTCTCGGGAGGACCTGTTGTGACCCTGCCCCATCGCAACGCAGGCCTGGGCCCAGGACACGTTCCTCCCTCCCTCAGTGCTCAAGGTTGTCTCTTCTGTTTTTTTTCTCCAGCTGCAGCAGCATGTTACCTCTGCTCGAAGGCTTACAGTGCTGGTTGTCCTTGCCCCAGCAGTTTAAGGCTTTTGTTCTGGAGAGATGGAAGGATTTAGGCAGGACTTAAGGCCTTTCCCGTTCTCTCTTTGTGAGGACCACCGGCATAGGACACAATTATGCTTTCAGAGGATTGCTTGCCCTGTCCCGTTCTCTCTTTGTGAGTGCCTGGCGAGGCCCCTGGAAAAGACCCTATGCCTTTTGTGTTGCAGGCCCCAGAGGCTCTAGCTCACAGGCTTGTAAGCAATTCTTAAAAAATTTTAGCTGAATTATTTGTATTGTTGTTACCTCCCATCTCTCATGGGAAGCACTGTCTCTCCTTTGATTTCAGGTCAGTTGTTTATTGCCCTGTGATCTCAGCTGTCTGATGGATTCTGGCAGAGTGGTGAATTTGTGGGTTGTCCAGTGTTGTGTTGTCAGGGTTGGAGTGATGCAGTCCATGCCTTTCTGTTTCCTGTGTCAAAGCTGGGAGTCCACGTTCCTTTTCTCTTGGGCTCTGTAGAAGGAACCTGGATTGAGGATGGACTATTTTTTCCTGTCACATGCACGTGTTTAATGTTCTTAGGAGTGTCAGGGATCCTGCAGTAATTTCTGGGCCCTGGGAGGTTATGTATCTACGTAAAGTCATCAATATTTTTATAGCATAAGACCCCCAGACTGCTAGCCTTAGGGTCTGGTTCTGCTCTGACTTAGTTGGCTGTGATGTCCCTGTTTTTGTGCTGTTCCTTGGATTCTTCTAAGGGAGGATGTAGAGCCCTGATCATACCTTGGGTGTATCCATTTGAGGTCATTGACAATGTTTTCCTAGCGGGTCATCAGGAACCATGGGTTTCTGGACTTTATACTGGCTCCTGTTAAAGTCAGTGGGTCCCCGTATCAGTATCTTAACTTCATGAATTGCATGTTTTAGGAATCATAAAGCAAGACCCTAAACTCCCAGTGGATAAAATCTTGCCCCCGCCTTCTCCCTGGCCCAAGAGCTCCATCTTTGATGCTGATGAAGAAAAGTCAAAGGTAAGGAGCTTCTCCCTGACCTCGGCCTCCCTGGAGTCTCATCAGACCCTTTCTTTTAGGGACTCTCCTGAAATGTCCCCTGGATGTCCTCTGATCCCTGAACCAAAGTGTGGGACAATGTGGGGAGGTGGGTTAGTGAATTCCCTCTGGAGCAAGTTCTTACAAGTGAGGTAGCATAAGGTCTGGGTGTTTTCTTTGTGGATGGGCCAAATAATAAATGCCATGTTCGTTGTACCCGCCACCTTATCTATACAAGTGTTTCTGAGGGAAAGAAGTTTCAAAAGGATAACCCAAGTGGGTAGTATGGATGGTCGGTCATATCCAGTGTATGTGTGGTATTGGGGGAGGATGGTGGAGAGGAAAGAATTGGTTGCATGTTGGCTCAGATCTTTTTTAGTGCCAGTAAGCCTGATCCCACCTATTTCCCTTCCACTACTGCCTTCCAGAATTATTGCTCCTCAGACATCAGAAAGGAGAGGGAAGGGAAAAGGAGGGTGGTCAAAACTAGGCCAACACCCAGGGGTAATTCTCGACTGCTTCTGAATGGGGAAAGGGCCCTTGAGCGCTAGTGGTGCAGTGCTTTTGGTGTTGACTATTCTTGGTCACTCACAAGATCTGGTAATTGTAGTACCAGGAGAGCTTTTCATGTATGCATCTCTCTTTTGTACCTTCTGCCTTCCAACTGCACCTCTCAGCTGTACCCTTCCCTTGCATCTAGATGCTCAGTGGCTATGGGGTCACTGTAGGCAGAGTGAGCAGGGCTATACTAGGTTCTGGGCTGCCTTTCTCTCTGGCTCCTCTCCTACTGGTGCCTTAAAATTGCAGAGGGTGGAGGAGTGAGGGAGGAGGTATGGCATGGACTTTGGAGAAAGATAGAATCCTCTGTCACCTTGAGCAAGCTACTTATACTCTCTGGGGCTCAGTATCCCCATTTTTCCTGCCATCCATCCAACAAAGATTGATTGACTCCTGTGTGCCAAGCATTCTGACAGGCATTGGGAATAAAGTGAACAAGATCGCCAAGGTCTGTCACATCAAAGTACGTGGTCTAGGACAACCTCAGCACTATGGACATTTTGAGCCAGATAATTTTCCTTTTGGGGGCTGTCCTCTGGCACTGTAGGATATTTATAGTATCCCTGGCCTCTGCACACTAGATGCCAGTAGCACCCCCGGTTGTGGCAACCAAAAATGTCTTCAGACTTTGCCAGATGTCCCCTGGGGAACATAACCCACCAGCTCCCTGCCCCACTGAAAACCAGTGATCTGAGGGGATAGTCGTAATACCTACTTCATAGTGTCATTGTGAGGATTTGGTAAGATAGCGCATGTCAAATGTGCAAGCTATTATTATTACTGTTAATTCTTCTATTGCTGATCTGACACAGAGGGAATTAGTTTCACCTGCTCTTGTTCACTCTTCAGCTTCTGACAAGGCTTCTCAAAAGCAACCACCCTGAGGATCTTCAGGCTGCAAACCGGCTGATCAAGAATTTGGTCAAGGAGGTGGGCATTTTTCCAGTGGGTTCTGCAGAGCCAGCATTTGACGGGGCTGGATGTATGTGGATGTGCTTGAGGGTGTGGATGCATGGTTGGCCAAGAGAAGGGATGGCCTCCTAGCCCTGAAGTGGGCACCAGCCCTGGGCCCCTGAAGGGCAGCAGGCGGGGACTGGAAGCAGAAAGCACGCTGTGAACTTCCCAGGTGCTTTTGTCCAGGAGCTGCAAGCATTTCGTAGGCACTTGTTTCTGTCCCAGTGCCAGGTATAGTGCCCCCGTGTTTGGGAATCTGTTTTTCAGAGGAATGCAGGCTGGTGGTACAAAGCAGTAGATTCCTAGGTCCCCAGACTGCATTGTCTTTCCCAGGAGTTCTGGGCTTTGAGCATTTCCTTCTCCTGCTGGGTGAACAACACTCCCATCCACTCAACGTTCTAGTGACTTCCCTGAGCTCTCCACAGTGCAGTGCCCCTTTCCCATCCCTCGTTCAGGCTTTATCCAGGGCTTCTGCTCCCTCGCTTCCATCCTCTTATTTCTTTCAAAAGGAACAAGAAAAATCAGAGAAGGTGTCCAAGAGAGTTAGTGCCGTGGAGGAAGTACGGAGCCACGTGAAGGTGCTGCAGGAAATGCTGAGCATGTACCGCAGGCCGGGGCAGGCCCCACCCGACCAGGAGGCCTTGCAGGTACTCTTTTTAAAAGATAAAATAAACAAATTCAGGTATGGTAAGCTGAGTATAACTGACATACTAGAAATTGCACATATTTAAAGCATGTTTGATGTTTGACGTGTATATGTCCATGAAGCCAACATCACAATCATGAGGGATAGTAAACGTGTCCCTCACCCCCCAGGATTTCCTCATGCCCCTTGATCATCACCCCCTCCATCCCACTCCTCCCTGGTTCCCTATCCCCAAGCAACCACTGATTTGCTGTCTGTTCTGATTAGTTTCTATTTCCTAGACATTTGTATAAATGGAGTGATACAGTATGTACCCTCTCTTTTTTGGGGGGGGCGGTGTCTGGCTTCTCCCCCTCGGCATAATTGAGATCCTTTCATGATGTGTGTGTCAATAGTTTATTCCTTTTTATTGCTGAGTGGTATTCCATTGTATGCGTGTACCACAGTATATATATCCATTCATCTGTAGATGGATTTGTGGGTTGTTTCCAGCTTTGGGTGATTATGAATTAACCTGCTATAAACAGTTGTGTACAGGATTTTGTGTGAACATACGTCTTCCTTTCTCTTGGGTAAATGCCTAGGTGTGGGATTGCTAGGTCATACGCTAAGTGTGTAGTTAACCTTTTAAGAAACTGCCAAATTGTTTTCCAAAGTAGTTTTGTTATTTTATGTTCCTAACAGCAATGTATGAGAGTTCTAGTTTCTCCACATCTTGATCTTTCTTTTTTTTTAGTAACACCTTTATTGAGAATTCACTTAACATAAAAGCAACTGTCATTACCTAACTAGAACATTTTAATCACCCCTAAAAGAAATCCTGTACCCATTAGTAGTCACTCTCCACTCCCATCCTATTCCCCAACAGCTCCTGGTAACCACTAATCTATTTCCTGTGTCTATGGATTTGCCTATATGGACATTTCATAGAATTATACACTACGTGGTCTTTTGAGTCTGGCTTCTTTCACTTAGCGTAATGTTTTCACAGTTCATCCATCTTGTAGCATTTATCAATACTTGATTTCTTTTTAAGACTGAATAACATTCCATTGTATGGCTACATCACTTTTGTGAGTTTCTTGGTCATTTTATTTATTTTTTATTGAGGTCACAGTGGTTTATAACAAATTTCAGGTGTACATCATTATGTTTCAACTTCTGTGTAGACTGCAACGTGTTACATCACATTTTGTTGATCCATTCATTGGTTGGGCATTTGGGTTGTTTCTTCTTTTTGGCTATTATGAATAATGCTATGAACATTTGTGTACAAGTTTTTATGTGAATGTGAGCTTTTAATTCTGTTCGGTATATACCTAGGGTAGAATTGTTGGATCATATGGTAACTGTTTAACTTTCTGAGCAACTGCCAAACTGTTTTCCAAATCATTGCACCATATTGGACAATCCCACCAGCAATGTATGAGGGTTTTCCACATGCTGCCAACACTTTTTATTGTCTGTCTTTTTGATAATAGCCATCCTAGTGGGTGTGAAGTAGTGTCTCATTGTGGTTTTGATACGTATTTCCCTGATGGCTTAAGTTGAGCTTTCTTTCATGTTTCTATTGGCTACTTGTATGTCATCTTTGGGGAAATGTCTGTTCAAATCCGTTGCCCATTTTTAATTGGGTTGTCTTTCTGTTTTTGAGTTGTAAGAGTTCTTTATATATCCTGGATATAAGGCCCTTATCAGATAGTTTTCCCCCATTCTGTGGGTTGTTTTTTCACTGTCTTGACAATATCTTTTGAAGCAAGTATTTAATTTTGAAGTTTAGTTGATCTATTTTTTTCTTTTGTTGCTGGTGCTGTTGGTGCCATAGCTAAGACACCACATGCTGGTGCAGACAGGTGGTAGTGGGACTGAAATGCTGTCTGAGGTGGACATTCTTAGTCTCTCTTTGGAGCTCTACCCTCTGCCTCCCTCTGCAGGCTACATCAGTCTTCTCTTTGTATTCCAGCTTCTTATGCTTCTCTGCACAGGAGAGACGGGCTTCACATAGCTCCTTAGTTTACTTGTCCTTCCATTTCACAAGGGTAGTAGAAACGAACTAGTGCCTTTCCCAATTCCAAACTCCTGAGAGAGAAACCTCTTTGGCCACCTTGGCTCATGTATCACCCCAGTTGGTCAGCTATGACTAGGGTTGGGTAGAGTTATGGAGAAGATCATGCTGGCCTTCTTCTGTGGCTGGAGGGGACAGTACTCAGAAGCACTGGTGAGCTTGGGCCAGGCAGACACTCCAAAGCTGATATAGCATGATGACGTTGCACCAGAGTCCCTCAGGACGGTCAGTTGTGCTTTTAAACAGCACAGCTTTTCCCCACCCAAGATGATAACCAGCTATGAGACAAGAGAAGCATGGCAGGAAACTAAACTTCATCTTTACAGCTCATCCCTAATGGATGGAGCTGAGTTTGGAAAATGTGGCAAATAAGTACTGGCAAGTGGCTTCCCACCCCTAGAATCGGCAGGTTTACCTGCCACCGAAGCTGGTGCTGGCACACCACTGTTCTCCCCACCAGGGGCTTCCATCTTTAAAACTTACAGCAGGTAGGAGCAGAGCCAGTGTGGGCTGTCCCAAAGACAGGGAACTCTCCAGAGCAAGGTGGGAGGGAGGGGCTCCTTCCTTCTTCCTCTCCCCGACCCACCAATCAGATAGGTCATTTCACCAGCTCTGGGGAATGAGGGGCTACGGTCAGAGGGAGGCCTGGAGTGTTAAATTAGTTAATTGAGCTGCCTTGCAAGGAAGGAAGCCTAGGATGTGCAGAAGCTATATCTTCCTCAACAGTGTGTGGAGAGGACGACTGCCCAGAGCGCTCTCCCTGGGACGAGGAAGATGAGACATCCCAGGTGATGTTGGGGGATGCGGTTTAGTTCCGGGAGAGGCTGTGGTGGGAGTCATGGGAGTGTTGTAAAGGGAATGCCAGCATCAGACAACAGCTGGATGGGATGTCTGGGGTGAGTTTTAAAGCAGGGTGGTCCCTGCAGGCTTCCCTGCGGGGTCATCCCGTTGTTACAGCTGTTCTAGGGGCAGGGCAGAGGAGCTTGAAGAAGAGAGAGTGCTGTACACACAGGTGGTAGATTCCTGTCTGAGCCAAAGTTTTTTATCACCTTTGTAACTGTTTTAAACAATCATGGTTTTTGCCTAGACTCTTTCTGAAACCGTACCTGCCGTGTTACTTCAACCCTGCAGTCGTGAATTTGGGGCAGACTAAGGAGAGCTGAAGCCCCAGACTCTGCTGCATGCTTATTGTAGGCATCTGGTGCCTCGCTGGGAGTCCTGGGTGTGTGTCGTGAAACCAAGCTCTGTTTTCGCAGGTCGTGTATGAAAGGTGTGAAAAGCTGCGGCCCACCCTGTTCCGGCTGGCGAGTGACACCACTGACGACGATGACGCGCTCGGTAACAGTTTCATTTCTAGGCATAGAAGCACTCCCAATTGCAAAACAGCCATGATTCTTCCTGCTGTGCTACTGTGGGGCCAGAAACAAAGCAGAGGGGACTTTAGGTTTTGTGGTGATTGGGGCTTGGGAAGGGCATGGCCTGAGTTGACTTAGAGCTGATTTCCAGAAGAATCTAGGCTTGAGCAAGAAATCAAGAGTAGGTCTGAAAGCATAGAAAGGGGTGGAAATTTGCCATGTAGATTGGGTCTGAGGGAGATAGAAGAAAGAGAAGATGCCACTGAAGGCTTGAAGAAAGGCTGAACAGCCAGAGTTCTAAGGAACAGCTCCCAGTGGTGCATTTTGAAGGTTTGACCAACATAGATGCCTTCAGGGCTGGGTATGTGACCTGAATGAGGCAGGCTGATGAGGAGTGCAAGGGACAATGGTAGGAATAGTGGAGAATCTTAATACTTGTACACAGGTATTAAAACATTTTAAACTTTCTATTACGGAAAATCTCAAAACACATGAAGGAGAATAGTAGAATAAATCCTATGTACTCTTCACCTGTTGTTCACAGTTACCAACTTGTGGCCGATCTTTTGATCTTGTTCCATCTGTACTACTCCCCCCACCCCCACCCAGTTCTATTTTGAAGCAAATTGCTAACATTTCAGAGTAATCAAATAGTCAGTGTTCAGATTTCCCTGGGCATTTCTCTCTCTAACCATCTCTTGCTAGCCACCCCTCCTTTTTTTAAACAGTTTGTTCTAAATCAGGATCAAAAAGAAAAGCCATACTTTATAATTGGTTGATATTTCTTAAGTCTCTTTTAATGGATGGTCCCCCATTCTTCATCTCTCTTTTTTATTTCTTGCATGAAAAATATGTCCTTTGACTCGTAGAGTTTCTCTTGGTCTGAATTTTCTGATGGCATCCCCCATGGTATTTAATGTGTTTCTCAGTTCCTAATATTGCTTATAAATTCCTGACGTTCCTTATAAATTGGGTCAGGGGCTTGATCAGATTCAGATTCAATTGGGATGGAAGGAGGGGAGCAAGAATACTTCATAGCTGGTCTTCAAGAGGGCCATGGTATCTGCTTCTTTCGTGATGTAATTTTTGTCTAAATGCGTTATTTTGTCTGGTTGCAATGAGGTCAAAGGTAATCAAATTTAAATGTTTAAGCAACTTGCACATGCCAAATAAAACACTTTGCCGGGTCAGTTCACCCCCGTGTTGTCAGTTTGCAGCCTCCATCCTAAGTTAAAAAATTGGCAGGAAATGGAGTGGTCACCCTTGAAGTCACCCAGCACCTTGGCCTGCACTGTTATATGTAGCCCCTAGCCCTGTTGCTAGTCTTTCTCTCTCTCGGGAGAGATTTTTTTTTTGCAGGCTAACCAGACCCTGAGATGCTCGTGGAGTTTTTGAAATCCAGTGCATATTTTATACTTACAGGACATTTCAATTTGGATGCCGAATTTTCATCAGGAATGTTTGATCTGTGTTTAGATTTTATAAAATTTATAGGTGAAAAAAGTAGATTCATATACCAATTTGTTCTGTACACAAAAGCTTTCCAATAACTGAATAAAGTACCAAAAAATTCTTTTAATAGTCACATCCACATTGACAAAACAGCTTTCAGTTTTAATTTTATTTTTTTTTTTAATTTTATTATTATTTTTTTGTATGTGAGGAAGATCAGCCCTGAGCTAACATCTGCCAATCCTCCTCTTTTTTTTGCTGAGGAAGACTGGCCCTGGGCTGACATCCATGCCCATCTTCCTCCACTTTATGTGGGACGCCGCCACAGCATGGCTTGACAAGCGGTGTGTCGGTGCACGCCCGGGATCCGAACCGGCGAACCCCCGGCCGCCGCAGGGGAGTGCGTGCATTTAACTGCTAGTGCCACCGGGCCGGCCCCAGTTTTAATTTTAAATTAATTAAAATTAGGTTTTACTCCTTCTGTTGAAAGAGCCATATTTCAAGTGTTGGCCATCATGTTGAACAATACATAGAAGGTGAGAGAATTTGGTTCCTCCTACACCTTGAGAACTAGAAGTGTCGGGGTTCAAGGATTGAGTGACCAGGTCTGAAGGGGCCTGATCACATGATCTGGGGGAGGAGGCTTGGAGGTACTAAACCTGGTAGAGCCATGTGACAGCTGCTTTGTGGAATGGCTTCAAGACTGAGATTGTTGGTAGCTAAACCAGTGGGTTCTGGTTTTTCTCTCATTCTTCAGCGGAGATTCTCCAGGCAAATGACCTCCTTACCCAGGGAGTTCTGCTGTACAAACAGGTGATGGAGGGCCGTGTCATGTTTGGGAACACAGTAACCAGCTCAGTGGGAGACATACCTGTCTCCAGAGGTATGTGCAAGAGCCTCTCCCTGTCCTCTGCCTTGGGGAAGCCTGCAAATCCCAGAAAAGAAATGGATCCTCACAAGGGCCAGCCCCGTGGCTTAGCTGTTGGGTGCGCACACTCTGCTGCTGGTGGCCCGGGTTCGGATCCGGGCTTGCGCTGACGCACTGCTTGTCCAGCCATGCTGAGGTGGCATCTCACGTACAGCAACTAGGAGGATGAGCAACTATGACATACAACTATCTACTGGAGCTTTGGGGAGAAAAAGGGGAAAAAAAAAAAGGAGGAGGATTGGCAATAGATGTTAGCTCAGGGCCGGTCTTCCTCAGCAAAAAAGAAGAGGATTGGCATGGATGTTAGCTCAGGGCTGATCTTCCTCACACACACACACAAAAAAAGAAATGGATCCTCAGAATATTCTGGGTTACGGTGTAGAAATGAGAGAATTTGCCTCTTTTCCGTTTCCTATGAGAACTAGTTTTTTATAGGCAGCCTCTGCCACATATGCCCTTGTGAATTGACTGCCAAGCTGGACCCTAGTTTTGGCTATAGACAGAAGCAGACAGCTATTTTGTACCCAGGTTTGGATTCCCTTTCTCATGAGTGCTTAAGGAAGCTAGAGACTTCCTTTCTTCAGTGCTTCCAAGTGCCAGGCTAGTTGCATCACAATCATCTGGATTACTAGTTAAAATGCGGATTCTTAGGTCCCTGGCTTGGACTTTATGAATCAAGACTGTTTGGAGTTAGGCCTGGGGATCTGCATTTTTACAAGCACTCCAGGTGATTCTGATTAACTACGGTCAGAAACCTCAAAAGGCCTCTGAGCTGGAGAAGTCAGCTCTGCTACTTTCCAGGTCAAATGGACCTTTAGAGGAGGACTCTGATTGCTGGGTGGGAAGACAGTCCTCTGGCAACCCATATTCTAGATGCCAGCTCAGGCTGTACATCAAGCTGAGGTGGAAGGTTCTTCTGGAGGTGTTGGGGCCGGGGTGATGCCATGTCTTTTGGGAGAAGGCCTGAGGAAAGCTGACAGGCTTTAAGTGGAGACTTTGCTCTCGTTCTGTCTGACTTATTTTCCTGTTTCCTAGTCTTTCAGAATCCAGCAGGCTGTGTGAAGAACTGCCCCCTGATTGACTTGGAGTTGGACAGTGGATCTGAGCAGGCTGGGGCTGCGGCACCATCTTTGCTTCATCAGGATCTGGCAGCCTTAGGTGAGGGTGGGTGTTTAGGGGGAGCAGGCACAGAATGGTCCTGACTCCCAGGGACAGTGAGGAAGCTGGTTTCCTTGGGGAGAATCTGCCTGTTTTTAGAGGGCACTAGGTATACTGGGAAGTTCAGAGGTCCTCTTCGCACTTAGTCTCAGGTTTGCCATGGCTGAGTTGAATGACTCTGAGTAATTTACTTTGTCTAGGCTTTCTAAATCTTCTAGAAGGGGCGGGCATGGTGTTAATCTCCAGCTCGTATCAGGTGTGCATCTCACTCTGTTCCTTCCTTACAGGAATCAGTGATGTTCCAATTACCACCAAGGTGAGGAAGCTCTTCCCGGGGGCCTGAGAAGGGAGGGGAGGTCCCTCTAATCTACTGTCATGGGGGCAGCGCTGCTGGAGAGGGGAGTGGAGAAGGACTACAGCGTAGCCTGGTGGCACTTGTGGACTTGGGGGTCTAAAGCCTCTTCCTCACCTGTACTGTCTTGAGCCCTCAGAGGAAGAAGTCTTTTTCCTCTCCTTCTGTCCTTACCCTCTTCAGTGATATCCAGGCTCCTGCTCACTGAAGGGCTGCTCAGGAATCATATTCTCTTGCCCTTTTTCCCCTCCCGCCCCAGGAAATGTAGTGAGCCTGGGCTGCAGTGGCTTTGGTGGGGTCAGGAGAGCTATGGCATGGTGTCTTCATGGCTCATGGTCATTCATACCCTGGCCTTATTGTAGCCATTCCTGATTTGACAGGTTGCTGGTCAGAATTGCTGTAAGGAAAAGAGGAGTCCTGCCGCCAACACACTGCCAGGTGGTGGTGTTCAGACCCCTTCTGCAGAGAGGAGCTTGTTGGATCTCCTCTCCTCACAGCCATCTCCGGGCCCTCTGTGAGTCTGGTGGGCAGGGGAAATAGGAGGGTGGCTCCTGTGTGCCATTGAGGCTCACTGCCCAGGGCCAGGCAGAAGGGCCCAGGATGACTCACTAAGATGGCCAGAGACCTCCCTCCCTGGAGGGACTTCTTCCTCTCCACCGCACATTCAATGTGTGCTTCCCTTCGTCTCCTTTTCCTCCCCATCCTAAGTCAGCAAAAGACACGCTTTGACTTCTGAAAAGGGGTTTGTTTAAGGAGCGGCAGCAGTAGATGATGATATTTTTGGTGTTTATAGGTTGCTTTTTTCCTGATTACAGTGTAATTTGAAGTTAAGCAAAATTTGATCACTAGTGAAATAGGTAAGATATTTGAAAAGTCCCAAATATCACTCCCTAAAGACAATGTTGAATGTTCCTTCTTTGCTTTTTTTCTTTTTTTTTTTTTTTTGTGAGGAAGATCAGCCCTGAGCTAACATC